GTGCGGCCCGTCAGCCAATTCCTCACCCACTGCACAGACCATTTGTCCAGGCCATAACGCATCAGTTTCTCCAGGAGGAGGCCGTGGGGAACCGTATCGAAGGCCTTGGAGAAGTCCAAGTAGACAACGTCAACCGCTCGCCCCATGTCAACTGAGCAGGTCACTTTATCATAGAAGGCCACCAGATTTGTCAGGCACGATCTGCCTTTTGTGAAGCCGTGTTGGCTTTTCCCAATCACGTGCGTCATTTGACTTGTGATGGCCCCCAGGAGGATCTGTTCCATGACTTTCCTGGGGATTGAAGTGAGACTGATGGGCCTATAATTACCCAGATCCTCCCTTGAGCCCTTGTAGATAGGGGTAAATTTGCCTTCCTCCAGTCCTCTGGGACATCTCCCGATCTCCATGACTTCTCGAAGATTATAGAAAGTGGCCCCGCAATGACATCAGCCAGCTCTCTCAACACCCTCGGGTGGATGGCATCAGGGCCCATCGATTTGTAGGGGTCAAGCTCCTGTAATAATTCACGTACTAACTCCTTCATCACTGATGGTGGGAGTTTGTAAGATGGCGAGTGCAATGGAAGGGAGAAGGAAAGGATACACTCCTAGGGAAAAGGCATAATAAGGTTTAAAACAAATGGATTTGAACTGTTACCATTTTGCAGCAAGCATAATAACCACCAGCTCTTGATGTTTTGATCGTGGCGTGCACATAGCACAGAATATATTTCCACAAAACAAATTTTGGCAGTTACAGCCACATTAACATTTTTCCAAAAGAAGCAATGAGAGTTGTGAATAGTGCCAAACTCAGCCTTCTGAATTGCACCATAGGCAACCATTATAATGTTATCTACAAAAAAGCCTAATACACTTTCACATTGTGTACTACTGTTTATCTATCAGTATTAACTTATATCAATTTAATGGATACAGGACTCAACTCTCACAGAGTTCATGGTTTTTAAAGTTGAGTTAACGTTGATTAATGAAAGAGTGAAGAGTGAAAAACAAAATAATTTGAATTAAAAGAAAGGCAGGTTCATATTCTAACATTATTTTGTATGTATGCTGGTATGATGTGCATGGCAAAGGCATAAGGTTATTAGGTGCTGAACTCGGGTACAATAGCAGTTGGTCATCTCACCCCCTTACTCTCCTTATGAAAATTCAAACTCAAATATTTAAGCCTAGATCCATCTCGCTTACATTCATTTTGCCAAACTCTCCCTTTCTGAAAGGAATCTGGTCTAAACTCCTCATGTGGGTTTCCTCTTTAGTCAGTGGTTAAGACTAAATAGGATAAAGACTCTTTCAGGTACTGATTTCATGATTTGTCTTGAGGATGACACACTTGCTAAAAGTGCCTTGTACACTGAGAGTACAAGGGTCCTGAAACGCCTGACACTCAGCAGGTAAAGCAGAGGGACAAATTCCCCTATAGAAAAACAGCGATGTGACCGTGTACAGAGACTCAGTGCTACCACTGTTCAACATGTTTTTTGGTGTTGTTTTTTTGTTTTTTTTTTTTTTTTTTTTACAGGTCCATGAAGGATTCTTGGAAAACAAGACTGCTCCCATAAATGTCAGTGCCACCAGCAGTTCTTCTGAGAAAAGGAGTACTGATTTACGAATATACATGCTGTGTTTCCTGCCATTCCTGATCCTCCTCGTCTTTATCCGTAACCTTAAGAGCCTGTCCTTGCTTTCATTGCTTGCCAATCTGTCCATGGCTGTCAGCCTGCTGATCATTTACCAGTATATTGTTAGAGTGAGTATAAAAAAGTTTATAATTTTTTTTTCCAGTGTGACGAGTTGTATTTGTTGCATGTGGCAGTTGGTCTCTGATAGATATGTACAGATGGGCAACTTCTGAAAGGCAGAATGATCTTGTATTTTATTGAGGCATCTTAATTTAAGGAGGTGCCATAATACTTGAGACATGCTTTAAACACGAACTTTTACAGTACTTTTGAAAGAAAGGATAATATTGCTGCATTTAATAAAAATATGTATTGTAATGACTTGGAATCCTTGAGTGGAAGAATATGTGAATTTTTATGGGTTGCACACAGAACTCGCAAGGCTTTAATCTGTGGTCAGTCATCTTGTTGCAGCAGCAGAACAGTTTGAACCGCAACGTTTGTTTCTAGTGTTTCTCCAGTACAATCAGGAAAAATTTAAGAGTTACCCTTTAAGAATACATATTGCAGGCTTCCATCTCCCGAGAAGTTGAACAGGTCCTGCATTTTTCTGGGTTGCTGCTGTCTTTCATATTTGGAGGCATTTCATAATGGAACAAATTAAACTGATGGCTAAAAAAAAAAATCACATGTAGAAACCTGTACTTTCTTATGATTCTTTCTTATGATTTTTGAAAAGTGATAAGTGATAGACACAGTTGCACAGATGATGTAGATAAGTGGTGAGTGCCACTATTGTTTGAGAAAGCTTTCACATGAGTGTATAAAATGAGTGGGAAGCGGAGGATGAGGAGGAAAGCAGAAAAGCCAGAGAGAGGTATTGGCTGGGCAAGGAGGCAGGAGCAGTTACGTAGGAGAGATTGGAGGAGATAGAGAGTAATTAATTGTTCTGCAGGAACTCAGCTTGTACTAAAGAAGGTTTTCTTTTTACTGTCCCTTATGGTTATGAAGAATATCTGTGCAGTATAAAAGCAGACTAGAAAATACAATATTCTGAGAATAGCATAAGTTTGCAGAAGAATAAGCTTGAGGTGTGAGCTTTCCCTTTTGTTTTAATTGACGCTCACTCACATACACCAGTGTGATAATTGTGAAAATTTCTAGTGTCAGTAATGTGAACCTAGAATAAATATATCTGTGTCTGTGTATGGGTGGGAGGGTGGCTATGAATGTGTATACAGGACTAAGTTTGCAAGGAAAACCAGGGATTTTAAATAGCAATGCATGCACCGCTGTCAACATGTACTGAGTTTTCTATAGCATAACATGTCAATCAAAATTGTAGGAACAGCTAATGCACTTTACATAGCACTGTTTTGCTTTGTTTTCTTCAGGATATAGTAGATCCTCGAAAACTGCCTCCTGTGGTTGGCTGGAAGAAATACCCACTGTTTTTTGGGACTGCAATATTTGCTTTTGAAGGAATCGGTGTGGTAAGTGCTTTTTACTTACTCTTCAAAATACATGAATCTGTGCTGGACAATAGGATACAGGCAGTTTTACTCCTGTTGTTATTTAATTGTTTCTGTTGAAGCACTAATCTCCCATGTTGATATGAAAAGGGTTAATTTCTCTTGTGAAATAAGGCAAAAGTTGAGGACAAAACATCCCCGTCAAAGGGGAGTTTGGTGAATACCGATTGCTACTTGGACACTTAGCACCTTCCCAAATTATAAGAATGTCTTTAGTTCCAAATAGATTGAGACAATAGTGTAAGAATAACTAGTATCATAATATGTTATATAATAATGTAATACTCAGCTAATAATATGATGATACTATAATTATAATGATTCAGGAGCTCATTTTTAGGTGATGAGGGTGTAAAAATAGAAATATATTCAGCATTCTTCTTTTCCTTTGGGATCACAGAGGACAAAGTGATTTATTAGAAATGCATTATTCTTCCTGCTTCAAACTTGTCTGTAGGTGTGACTGGACATAGATGGAAATGATAAGAAAAAGGATAGAAATTTCAGAATATTTTTTTGATTCATGGCCTTCTGACAATGAACCTCAATTCCTCATTGTTTCCAGAAACATGTCAATTAAATAGATCTATCACGCTGAAAATTTGGTTTTTAAAAGTGGATCTTTTTATTACTGTTTCTAAGGGCTTTCTGATTGCATCTCACACTAGCAAAGTTTGCAAAATAGCAGTTTTGTTCCACATGGCGTATTTTAAAAAATAGCCAAACAGGCTTCTGGGAATGGTAGGTCATAATGTGTTTAAGCTGTTGGGAAATTACTATATACACTTTGTTACTAATATGATTACATACTTCAGCGAGTGTTACTGTACGCTTAAAACTAAAAAACAAGCAAACAACACCCTCACCCTCCAAAACCCCAACCAAACCAACCCCAAACCAGTATGCAATTAGTCTGAAATGATTGTCATTGACATAACACGGGAGAGTTTTCAAATCTCTTTTCTGGAACTGTCAGCACTGCATTAAACCAGGGTATTTCACCCTGCTGCTGTATTATCACTGCCAGAAGAGCCGAACAGGAAAAACTTTTAACTCTACTATGTTACAAAAGTGTGTTTTCACACATGGTATATGTGGATCTAGTGACTGTGAGTCTCCATTTCTCAAACTGTTGTCGACCGTTTCTCAAACTGTGAACTGACTGATGCAGAGGTTTAGCTGCCGTATATTTGAGTGTACCTGGACATCTTTCCTTTTGTCATCTGCAAGTTCCGTCATAGGAAATGAGCCATTTGTCTGGGATTGTTTGATGCCTACAAGTCTTGAGCAAAAAACCACACTCAGTGAATGTGATAAATTGGGCTATACTAAGCTTCTTGCTCTTAAATTGTATAGTCTGTCTGGAACAGACTGCACTTACTGCATGTGTGTAAATGCAAGACATCTACCGTAGGTCTGATGTAGGTCCCAGTTGTATTAGATTTGTTGCTCACGTGGGGCATAGCGTGTGGGTATGTATTTGTAGCCAGGAAATCCCAAATGAGAGTCCTGTGAGCCTCAGGGACGTGTGGAAGGCTTACCATTGTGTAGCGATAATTTACTGAATTATAGGTAGGGAACTGATTGATGGTAATTATTTTCTGGCACATTAGATCCCATGTTAGACAGCTCTTTAAATTTACATCGGCAGCGGTAGCATTGACTTCCGACGTAAACCTTTGAAGAATTGCCCAGACGGTAGTGCTTGATTGAAGCCCTGGTTGTCACTAATGCCATCTATAAGAACCCCAAACTTTTTTCCTGCTTTTATTCAAGAGCATATAATGTAGGGTTCATTCGAATTGTACCTTTAAAACATAAAAATATTTCTTGATATTATTAGATATTGGTGTTATACAGTTATTGTATACGTTCCTGTATCAGCTGTTTCAATTTCTTACTTGATCATAATTTACTTACTATTCAAAGCAAATGAAGAGTGTTTTAGTTTTTCCACTTTGTTACTGGTGTTTACAAACTAATTAAATGTTTATGTTCATTATGGTTTGATATATACTTTGTGCGTGTGTGTGTACATTACACAAGACCATTAAAATAATGTGGCTACCTTTACAAATTAGAATTATAGTAAAAGCGACAATCTAGAGCTTAATGTTTCTTCCCTATATGTAGAATGATATCAATATGCCTGTGCCTCTCAGGGATATTTTCAACACGTGTAATGTTTGCTCTGTGTTCTTAGTTGCATGCACCATAGAGAAGATTTGAAGAAAAAAAAACAACTTTCTGGGTTTGAATAATCAGTACTGAATAAAGTTGTTTAAGCATGAAATAAAAAAGATCAGTGGAGTGAACCGAGACACACGTTTCCACTTTAAATACTTAGTATTTCATACAGTTCTTGGTGATTCATTTAATTGATAACTAGTTATTACAGCTCAGTAAGTTACCATCACAGACTGAACTGAGAGAGAGAGAGAGATATGTGTATGTGTGTTCGTGACCTCTTGCAAATGTGAAGTGAAACACGTTTAAAATTCTTTCATTGAGATGTAAGCTAATGCGTTTCAATTCACATTACAATGGATTAAGAATATTCACAGTCAGTTGCTAATTTGTGATAACCTGTTAATCTGTGTCTTAATTACTGTTGTTCTTACATCCATGTGGTTGAATAGTTCTGATCAGGAGAAGAAACCACACCACTGAATTAGACTGGCTCCTTAGTCTGCTCTCTCTGACTGCAGGCACTCCAAATCAATTTCCCTAATCTTGGTCTGGATGTTAGAGGCTTGATTTTAGATTTTGTTCTGGAACGTCTTGCAAATAACACTTATTTCTGTAAAGCTATCTGAAAATGACATTATAAACAGAAGACTTAAGGTCTTAATTTTATCAGAAAAGTTGATTATGGTTGATTCATTTTATGCAATAAGTTGGTCTTAAACAGTTAGGAGGTCTCGTTTTTCCTTTTCCTTGATTCCAAACATACTTTATTCTAATTTAGACTGAACTCATCTGAGAGCTGCCAGATTATTAAATGTTTATGAACAGAGACAGCAGATGAAATTCTGAGTTTTTTGGGCTGGTTAAGTCATCTTAAGCAGAACCTAACAAGAGAGAAAAAATGCCATCAGTGTGGTTTCTCTTCCACCATTGTTCTGTGTAAAATGGTCTTTCCGACTAGGAATATTTAATGATCAACAATTTGAGTAGAGGAATAAATGATCTGTAAGGCACAGTATAAAACAGTACACCTTAGCCATAGCAGTCAGGAGGATTTCTTTTCAAAGATACTTAATTGGCTTTGTTTTCATTAACAGGGGAGTGGCTAATGTAGAAGGAAAATAATTGTCAGTTCATAATGTCATACTCGGTATGGAAACAAGTTTGTCTGGTTTCTTTGAACCAAATAATAGACTGCAGGGGAAATACTCTAGCACTGATTTTTGTTTTCATCCCATTGTTTCCAAAAGCTTTTTATTTATTGATTTTTTTCCTTCTTTTCTTTTAGTTTAGCACTTGTCATCACTTAAAGTATGACCGTAGTTCTTCAGTAACTCTATTAAAATTAGTGAGACTAATTAAACAGAGGAATCTAAAGTCCTGTTCACTATGGGGAATGTGATTCGGGGACGTGCAGTGATTCAGCAGATTCCTAGTAAGATTTTCTTCTTGAGCTCGAGAGAGTGTATTTGTCTTTTAGATGATGTGTGTAGGAACATGGGTTTTGGTTAAAATCTGTCATTAGTTTAGAACTGATTAGCTGCCCCCGTGTAATAAGAAAATCAGCAGTATGGAAGTAATTTGGAGTATCTGCTTTAGCTATAGTCGATCCCTAGATAAATAGACTTTAAGAACCTTAATTTTACTGACTTGTGTCTGTAATAACTCAAAGGAGGAAGGGTAGCCTATTTATAATTGAAATTTGGAATCTCAAGTAAACCAAGGCAGTGCCTAGAAACTAGTACTGTTGTAATACTAAGAGCTAGTTAAACATTTCATCAGCCAGTGTTATAAAACTATTTTGAGATAGTGTAATTAAAATAAAAAATAATTCATAGGATAAATTGATTATATTAATGTGATGAATTGAGCTCTTCATATCTGCCTGCGAGATCAATCTAAACTCTTATTTGATGGCAGATTTGAACCGTTTTGTCATTTTGCTAAAGTCCAGGCAAGTTGTTCATTTGTTGCTACAGCTACTACAGCAGAAATAAGGTTAGTGCCATCAAAGGGCTGATTAATGTTAATGCATGCTAAACTCTGATACGTGTAACAACAGGATTAAAAAGCGCTGCAGTCTGTTGCTTGTACTATTCATTTCTTTGCTCCCTGTTTGAGGTGTCTGTAGAAATGGGGTCACTGCTGATTGGTGTAAGGTACCTGCTGCAAATTGTGGATGTCTTGGCAGCCATGTGGTAGTGATCGCTGTGTGCTAGCAGGAGGAGTTGGCAGCAGGGTTACCCGCTGATCCCTTAACACTGAGTTAACAAAGAGGACCCGAGAGCTCAGTACTGTCCATCTGGTGGTTATCATTCATAGTGTTGAGAGTTGGTTTGGGATTTCAACACTTGTAAGTTAAGATCTTAAGATCGTCAGGGTGACCTTGTGAAAATTGTATTGACTAGTGACATCAGAAACAGTAGTAGCAACAGAAATGCAGTACTCTGGATACAACAGACCATTTTAGATACTTGGTTTTGTTTTAATCTTTAAAGTGAGGATTTCTGTTCAGAAGGCAATAATATGTTGATTAGGAGCTGGAGAATCTATATTCAGCCCTCTGTGGACCTTCTTGAGTACAGGGCTCTGCTAGGGATGGGAGAATCTGCAGCTGCTGCTTTCCCTCTGTGCTTTGGCTTCTCTCTGGCTGGGGGTTCCCTGGGCCAGATGATGCTACCTGGCAAATCACGGGGCTGCTGTTCAGCCCTCGGAAGAGAAGAGAGCACCAACACTGCTTCTTGAATACAGGAGCTGCAGGTGATATAATGGAG